CAGCTGCGGAACTGGCTCCACCACCATCATCATCATCATCCAGTTTCCAGCGGTGGCCCGCGTTTCCAGAACGGTTCTTACTTCAGTGCTCACTGCTCAGGCTTCCTCAAGCGATCCTCAAAGTGGTACATCCCACACGCTCACCACTTGGATCCAGGAAAAGGCCACGAATTGGCATTGGAGCCTCCTCTTTTCATACCTTTGGTAACTTCTCAACGTCCGTGCAGACCTCATCGTACCGGGGGCAAAGAATGCGACCACTCTGGAACACAGACGATCCAGACAGATCAATCCAACTTTTTTCGTTGCACTTGTGCCATGTATCACTGTCCAGGTACTTTACCTGCACGACACCGCCAGCGCAGCTCACCTCGGCGCACACATCACCAACAGGCGGAGAGTCAGCATGCGTTTTCTTCAGCACAATGGATTCACCATTCAGGCACCGCGACCTCGGGCCCAAGAGGCTCCCTGGCATCTGTTCCGTTTTCCCGCTCTCGCAAACCGTGTCGGCGGTCGGCGTGATGACGGGGCAGTAATCCGTCCTTGCGTCTTTGCGGCCACCCAGCGTAGATGTGTCGAAGTACCTGTATACCGTGTCGAAACATTCCCAGTACCGATGCAGCCCGCAGTCCCCCAGGGCCAAGCGGTCAGACGTGCAGCGCAGGGCGTCGACGGGGGCGTTGCAGAACATCTGGGGGTATTCGGTCCTGTTCATCTCCATGCATTTTTTCTGGAGGAAGCCGCATCCGGCGTTCCTGCCCCAACTCATCGGCTCCGCCATGTCCATTTTAGGCTTGTAGAAGCCCAAATCGGCGAACGCAGCCAGCGTCAGGGCCGTGTAGAACGCACCGCCGGTGGCGCCAACGTACGGACTCATCAGCTCGTCCTTCGCGTTGCGGCGCTTCCAGTGCAAGGTGTCATCGGCATCGTCCAGCTCCATGCCGGGAAGGTCCTTGCAGCCGTAGTGCTCCCGTGCCGCCGCCTTTGTCTTCTCAGAAATCATGAGTGTGGTGACCTTGTCCTCATTCCGAAGCTTATCGGCCCACAACGGCCGGGGGTAGACGTTTTGCATCGTACGGCTGTCGAAGCCAAGGACGTGCGCGATCTCGTGTGCAGCAATGCGGACGCTGTACCGCGTGTGAACGATGCGCTCCGGCTCGAAGTTCATCACGCCAGAAATGGGCCGTCCAATGCTTCCCCCGGAGCCTGTCGCCCTGTCGCACGACCGGGCAAACATCCCTTCCGGCGCAGCAGCCACGTAGAGCACGAGATCGGCCTCCGCCACACCAACTGAGCTGTGATCCCTTGGAACAGTAAAACCTTGGCAGCTGGCACGCCAGTACATAAAGGGAACCTTCAGGCGACCCGTCAGAGGCTTCACATTCAAACGGTCGGTGTGCAGCTTCACCGCCTCGGGGAGCAAAGTTTCCACGAGGAGCTTCGCCTTTGCCTCCGTGACGACGTGCTTAAGAGCGCATGTGACCTCCCTCCCCTGGATGGTCGTTTTGGACTCGCCGACCTTGGTGCAGCGATGCTCCGCCGTACTCTTCAGGTCCTCGGCGAAAACGCTGATGCGTAGCGGCGCCCAGTGAGCATCATCGCCACTGGCGACGACGGTGTACACCTGCGCAGCGCCCTTGACAGGCAAACCATGCACCACTGACGCGTGCACGGCGTCGTCTTGCTCAGCCATGGCACTTCCGGCCCTGGAGAGAGGCTCATTGAGGGCGAAGCACCCACAGGCGCTCAGCAAAAGCAGGAGCGCTGTGGCGCGAAAGAAAACACCACGGACCATGTCGTGCTTGTGTTTCACTTCGGGTTTTCGACGGGGTCTGTTTGTGTTTCGGGTGGGTTGATGCGTGTGTGCGGTCTTTCTGATGGGTAATCAGACTGCAGCAGAGCGAGAGAGGGAGAGAGAGAAAACGCACAGAGAGAGCTACCACAGCACCAGCAGCACCCAGGCTCAGACACACACACACACACACACAAAAGACAGGAAGGGACACTCGCTTCCACATCACCGCGGAGCCGGACCCCGCACACGCACTCACCGAGCCCCCACATGCGCTCATTGGCACCACGGATCACCCGTCAGTCATCGGTGCGGCCAAAGACGCGCTCTGGTAGCAAAGTAAACGCAACAGAGCCACAAGGAAGACAGCAGCGCAGCACAGCCCCTCCGCAAGCAAACAGCCGCGCCCAAGCCTCGCGTTCAGCCGCACGTATGGCCGCCATGAGCAGCAGCAGCGGACAGAGAGGGTGTGGGCGGGAACGCACACGCTGCCCCATCAGTGGCGTCGCCATATCCTCCTCCAGAGGAGCCTCGCACAGCTACCCGGCGACCCACACACACCAAGCATCATGGCCGCAGTGCCTGCCGCGCCCTGTGGGTGCGACAAAATCAGCCACACGCACACGGCTTCTCGCGACAACCTCGCAGCGGCTGCCGGCACATGAGGCTCATGTATGCGCAGATGCATCAGGGCCAGCACCCCATGCGGCCGTGGTGCCCACAGATAGTCCCTCAAAAAGCGCCGCATCAAAGGAAGCACGTGGGAGCGCGACGCGTCGCTGGCCCCCTTTACTCTCCGGTTCCCCCGTTGGGAGAAACTCCGCGGCGCCGACGCGGCCACACGGCACCGCCAGGAACGAGCGCGCCTACCACGCGCGGGCAGTGCAGCATAATCACCTCAACAGCACAAATAGGAGAAGGCAGAGAGACAGACCCCAGCGCCTGAGAGACGCGGGCCTTCGCTTGTGCAGCATCCCCACAGATGCACACCTGCCGACGTCATCGGCCACACAAAAAAAAGCCCACACACAACAACATCGTTCCAGTTACTCTCAGCGCGTCCATTGGACGTAAAGCAAGAAATTTCAGTCTCCGTGCCCCACACACAACGGGACAACTGTCGCCAAACGGCACACACACGGCGACGGAGCCAAAAAAAAAAGAAAGAAAACAAAAAGCAGAAAGCAGAAACAAAGAAAACAAAAGAAAACAAAAAAAGGCAGCCATGACTGCGTCCCCTGTGGGGTTTGCCGAAACACTTAGAATTGCCGTTCAAAAAAGCCCAAGAAAGGTGTAGGCCCAGAGACCCGAAAAGATCGCGTCACAGGGACGCCCAGCAGAGTGTATATAAAAGGGCGTGTACGTATATAAAGCTGTGTGCACAGCGGCCCAAGAATTATAACGACGTGTATCAAGCAGCTGCGGAACTGGCTCCACCACCATCATCATCATCATCCAGTTTCCAGCGGTGGCCCGCGTTTCCAGAACGGTTCTTACTTCAGTGCTCACTGCTCAGGCTTCCTCAAGCGATCCTCAAAGTGGTACATCCCACACGCTCACCACTTGGATCCAGGAAAAGGCCACGAATTGGCATTGGAGCCTCCGTTTCTCACGGCATTGCGAGTCGTCTGAGCCTCCGTGCAGACCTCATCGTACCGGGGGCAAAGAATGCGACCACTCTGGAACACAGACGATCCAGACAGATCAATCCAACTTTTTTCGT